GCCTTCCTCAATGGAGACTTACAGGAAGAAGTCTACATGTAGTTACCTCCTAGATTTTATAGATGTTAAAAGTACCTCGTCATTTGGTCTGCTTCCAAGTGGCCGATGACTTAGGCCAAAGTGGAGAACTTTGGCTGCCGAGATGAGTCACGCTGGGCAGGCTAGGTGGCGAGCTGACTATAGTGCGGAGCTGCCTGTGAGGTGCCAGGCTAACCAGATGCCGAGCTGCCTGTGAGGTGCCGGGCTGACCTGGTGGCGAGCTGGATTGATGAGATTCGTTGCTCTTTGGAGACCTACAAGGAACCAAATGTCAGAGGACCTGGGGTGGCTAACCTGGCAAGGTCGCTCCGATGCTTAAGTCAGTACTCTCATAGTAGACTGCGAGCTAAAAATCACACAGTATGAGAGCTAGAATTTACTTACTGACTCTGACCCACTACTACTGCTGCTRCTAACATGATGGCCCTGATGTCTCGGAATCTCATCCAGAAGGTAGACTCCATTCACCTCACGACCACTCCCAATCATCTTCTTTGACTCCAGATCCTGCAAAACACAATTAACGAGAAGAAAGGTCACGGAACAATTCAAATTTTTTGTCAAAGAACTAACAGACAATAGGCTGGTATGAAGTCTAGGGACATGTAAAACAAAAGACATAGTTATATCATTGGTCACTTTAACTGTCCCCTTCCCAACAATGGGAATATGTGAACCATCTGTTGTAGAGACTCTGCCTCTACCAGAGCACAACTGATAGGAACTAAAAAGGGTAGGGGCATTAGTCATGTGCTCAGATGCTCTTGAGTCTATAATCCAGAGAGGTCCCTCCTTACCTAAAGTGGATGCAAGATTTGTAGTTGCATATGAATTACCTGTATGTGCAAAGGAAGTGGTGTAGTTGGCTCCTGCATTCTGTTGTCCATCTAGAAGGCTAGAGCTAGGTGAATCTTTCTTACTCATAAGCTGTCCAAACCTCTCCAATTCTGTTCTCACTGTTGTTATTGCAATGGATTCCCAATCAGTTTGGGGAAGAGGGGCTGAAGAGTCTCCTGTAGTGGCTACATTTGCATTTCCCTTCTTGTTCCTTACCCAGGCAAGCATAAGATTTGGATGAAGCTTCCAACAAGTGTCCCTGGTATGCTTAGGCTTCTTGCAATAATCACACACCAAATCCTTCTTATCTTCCCTTCTAGTCTCACTACTCCCTCCGTCTCCATTCGACTTAAGTTTTGTTGTACCAACTATAGCCGAATGATCAATCCCAGGCTGTCTCAGCATTACATTCCTCCTACTCTCCTCTCCAGAGACAAAGGCATAGGATTGAGAGAGTGTCACACCCTCCCTAGAAAGAATATGTTGCCTAGCAATGTCAAATTCAAGCCCTGCCAAGAACTCAAAAACCCTATTCCTCTCTACTAGTCTATGATAGGTTGTTGCACCATTTACACTTTCCCATACCATAGTTTCTAAGTGATCTATTTCTTGCCATAGGGTTTTCAGTATGAAGAAATACACAACAAGAGGTTTTTCTCCTTGTTTCATACTTATCACCTGATTTCTTAACTGATAGGCTYTGGCTTCATTTTGCTTHTRAGAGTAGGTTTYAGYCACTCCATCCCAAATCTCCTTAGCAGTATTAGCCCATAGGATTTTTTTTTGCAATATGAGGTAACATAGAATTACGTAGCCAGGACATTACCATGTAATTTTCCTGCACCCATTGGGAAGAGTTTGTATCAGGTTTCTTCTCCTCCCCAATAAGATACCCTAATTTTCCACGGGCACCAATAGCCATCTTAGCTGATTGTACCAACTCCAAATAATTTGTACCATCAAGTTTTACTGTAGTAATGATCCCATACCCAAAAATATCACTACTACCTCCAACACCCAGTCCCATAGTACCGGTAGATTTCATCTCGGTATTCCAACTCTCCATCTTACTTCAAACAGTTCAACAATAAGAAAAAATAGATTGGAGACCTTCCAAAAATAATTTAATATCACACACACAGAAACCAACCCTTCCGAAAGAAGAAAACCCTATCTAGAGGGAAATCTCTCTCCTCCCCACGCCTCCCAACAGAAGAGAAGAGTGAATCAATCACTCCAGGAGGCTAAGAAAATTCCAGAAATCAAACCGCCCTCTTCAGAAAATCAAAAGAAAACTAACAATACCTAGGCACCCAAGATCAGGTCAAAAACAAAGAGTCCAACTTTTCTGGGACTCTTCCCCGTACTCTGGTTCTTCTTGATTTTGATGTCGAACAGTAGATCACCTTCTTGATGACTAAATCCCATCAAAAAATTCAATAACTGGGCAATCTATAGCAGATCAATCAACCCTTTATTACTTCATGCAGGCTGATCTAGGGCTGCATGAGAATGCTTCAAGAAACCCTAGCCGATACTCTGATACCAAGTAGAAATCTGCTGAATTAAAAAATATGAAAAAAAAGTAGTTTCTTGAAGAGAGAAGGAAGAGAGAAAGAGAGAAGGAGAGAAGAAGAGAAGAAAAGTTGAAAAGAAAAGAGAGCAATAATCTGACCGCCCCCTTCACTTATTATTTATACTAAAAATAATACAGCAATACAAAGACAACTATGCCCTTATAGGGCGGCAAAACATAAAACAGCATATATAACACTCAAAAACATAATAAAATTTGGACCCACATAACTACCGTGGTTCCCACCTCCTATCTAACAACTAACATAAAACATCTACTTAGAAAAACATCATAAAACTGATTAATCTTCAATGCTATTCTTCCTCTTATCTTTACTTCTCTCTTCTTGCTTTCTTCGTCAATCTTATATAGTTTTCTCTTCTTGTGGCCATGGGTACTGACTTTTGGATCTGTTTAAATTCTAATCAATGAAAATAAACAACAATCTACTTACCTTTTAAAAAGTTGAAAACTGAATGATTATGAAATTATGCATAACTGTTGTTAGGAGGTAAAGAGACCTTGAGTACTTTATGATTCATTGCTGTTTGATCACTGTTAACACATAGTTCCAATTATTTCAATTCAATAAATTTTTTATTTTTTATGGCTTAAAAATAATTTGACTATTTTTTCTTTGGATCTATAATAGATGGCCTATAATTTTGAGAATGTAGGGGTCTTCACCTTCTTCTTTGTGAGATGTTTGAAGATCCATGCACGGTTTCTGAGTTTTTACAAGGTCTCTTTTCTCAAAAGATAATGTTTTATTTTATTTTAATTTCTATGCATGCATTTTTTTGGCTGTTAGATTATTATTAGGTGGGTAATCTTATTAATAAAAAAATAATATCTAAAACAGTTCAATAGGTTGATAGAAATGGAACTTAATTATCAACTTGCACCAATTAATCAAAAAAATTTATTAACTTACCCGATGCAATGTCTCGTTTGTATTAGGTTCAAAATGAAAAGATATTTTATGCTAAGAAAATTGGAAACTAGGAATTAAAACATTATTCCTACAGAAGTAAATGATACATGTCAACTAGAAAATTAGTAACACTACTCATCAGTTTGGAATTAAGAACACAGTGGCTTCTCATGTAAATTTTGTAACACTTAAAAGCTTCACAAATTTCCACATCAGTTAGTAAGCTTTTTTCTTATATATTTTGATTAATAGATGGATTCATTAACTATTATTTGTTTCGGCTCATTTTTCTGCATGGGTTTCTAATTGGCATTTTAAGGTTCATATTTTCAGCCCATGGGGCTTTTTTGGTTTTGAAAAGAAGACCATGGAAGCAGGTAGTGGTACAAAAGTTAACATGAGCCCATAAGATTTAACTTTTATTGATTATATGGCTTAAGGTTTATGGACCTAAAGTAGAAAAGTTGTACGCTGCAGCTTTAATGGAGATGAAAAAGACGCAGTTGTTTTTATTGGACATACTACTTGGTAGAAGAAAGGGGAAAATATGCCTCTGCAGAAGACTGAAAGAGGAGAAGGTTCTATCGTTACATAACAGGTAGCACTTCTCTCTCTCTCTCTCTGTACCATGCTTCTCTCTCTTAGTGTTCCTTTCTCTTTCCAGCATGCTTCTATCTTACAGTCAAATTCTCACCTGTGCATGCATGGGAGACAGCATAGTTGTAAATTCATCTGATTTGTGTGGATGCTGAGTCAGACATGAGATCTGCCAAGTCCTTCACAAGTTGACTCATGGACACATGTCACCTCACGAAACCCAGACTAAGGTGTCTATGTAACACTACCTCAGACAAAATCTCTAATCTATTATTTTTCTGTGGAAAACCATTCTAAATCAAAATCAAGACAGCCAAAATTATTTCAAACAGGCATCTGTGCATGCTGAAAAATTTAGGTGGCATTTCCAAGTCTTAAGTCAGATACTTCTTTAAGTCTAATTAGATCTTATTGGAACAAGGGCTTATTTTTATGTTTGAACAGTCTCTGCCTGAAATCTAATTAAAATATCATATTGGAGTTGTTGAACCAGAATGCTTTCTATTTGAACATGGGTACGAGTGGCATTCTTATCATATGAAAGCTTTAAAAGGTTAAAAAGTAAAGAAAATATTGCTATAAAAAATGAGTAAAATAAGCATCTATATGCACCACTAAAAAGTTTAAGTGGTGAACAAATTGGAAAAAAAATGGTGACAAATGGCAACTCAAATACAGCAAAATTTTAGATAGAAGTGGACCTTTCAGAGGTAAAATAAAATGCATGATGACCACTAACCAAATCAGTTTCAGATTTCCAAATACTACCTTTATTTGGAAAAAATGGTGACAAATGGCGACCTAAATACAGAAAAATTTTAGATAGACGTGGACCTTTCAGGGTATAACAAAATGCATGACCACTTAACCTAATCAGTTTCAGATTTCCAAATACTACCTCAGTTTCGGTTGTTCCTAAAGCAGGTTATCATTATGAATGAACAAAAGACAGTTGACTGGTTGAACTAAAAAAACATCCTAAATCAGAAAATGCATGTTAAAGAGAAAAACACTGACCATAGTATCACCCCAAAAGAAATTGTTCTCCAGAAGGATTTTATCAAGAAGATAAATGCAGAACCTTGCTATTGTCTTCATGCTCTTCTCACTGATGGAATCTTGACATGTATGATCAGGGTCAAAGGATTCAGAACATATCCTTGCTGCAACTTCGTTTGTAATGCTTAAGATAACTGCACATATCTTTCTAGAGATGATAAATTTCTGGAAGCAAGAATCATGCCATTGTGCATGCTGAAAGTCCCAGTAATTTGGTAGCATCAAGCAAGATGTGTCCTGAATATCAGTTTGAGCTGTAGTTTCCTCATCCTCCGTAACATAAAGAATGGGTTTGACTTCTACCAGTGCTCTGCAATAAAGAATGAAAAATTTTCACATTAAATACTGGGGCAAATAGGAGCCAACTATGAACTATATTGGAGTATGCTGGGGGATCAGTAATGTAATAGCATTACCTGAATGAAAATAATTTGAGAAGGGCGGGAAACTGGCCCCTAATCAGGGGATGCCCAGCATTGTATATACTGGTTCTTTTATCATTCATTTAATACGTTTATAGTTATCCATAAAAAAATACTACATCCATATTCTGAAACAACATTATGGGCTTGTAGAAATACCTTTTTGGAAGGTTGGGTGCAAGAATATATAGAAAATTGGGATCAAACACTTTAGAGCTATCTCCATTGTCAAAATCATACGATCTTCTCTGCTCAAGGAATGCAACCTGCTTGCTTTGAATTTCAATTCTATCAGAGGGTGTGAGAGATGCTGAGCAGTAAACGACAAAGAGAATTGCAGAAGCAGCTATAGAACAGTTGTAGCACTTGGCAATGGCTTCGCAATTTTCCAGTGCTTGTTCCAGTTCTGCAGTAGGGCCTCCAGTGCAGAGTGTCATTGTGGGAGGGTCAAGTCCCAACTGCCCAGCCATATATAGTATTTCTTTATGCAAGGTAGCCTGAAAGAAAAGCAATGCAAATATTAGGTGCTTCCTAGGCAGCACTTTTAAAAATCACTGACCCATAAATTTTGAACATGTAGTTGAGTGGCTGATGGTAAAATGCATGATAAATATTGGTGTCTCTAAACCATATTTCACGAGTTTGTGTGGAACCATCATTAATAAAAAACATTGCCAGAATCTGTGGAATAGTGAATCTCAAAAAAAGGTTCATGCAGAATTGCAATATGTTGTTTTGCACATCAAACAAAAGATGCTGCAACTAAGAATTATGTCTTAAACATTTAAGTAATCAATATCTGTCTTTTTTACTTCCTGAGATCCTTTATTGTCTTGTTTAGCAAACAACTGTATTCAATGAAAAGAACACGAATTACTGTAGGAAAAATCTAACCATTAATTTCTGAATTTTTCTCGAGCCTAGTGTGATTGAATCACAAATGAGCAATAGTTTTCTTAGAGCTAGGAGTAGGTTAATGAATACATCTAGAATAACAATCACATCTAGTAGTAAATACCTATCTTTCAGCAAAATAATTGAAAAGCAGAGGGTAAGAATAAGGTTGGCTAGCAACATTGTCAAAGCTTATGCATGTAAACTCAAACACACCAAATGATGAAAGCATTCTGGAACAAAATTAGGTCCATGGACACTGATACAAACAAGGTTGACAAGGAGTCTAACTTAGAGAAGAAATAAAAGAAATAAGACAATATTGCCTTACTTTAGATTAGTTTTACCTGGCTATATGGTCCAATGCAACTTGGTGCCCAGCATGAAATACTCTGTACATGTAAAACTTTTTTTGTATGGTCATTGGACACTAGAACTTCAACATATGCATCCCCTAGACCCACTTGCATTAGAGGCAGTTCAATTGTACTGCGAGATGGAACACCGAAGTAGCACTTCTCTTGTGTAATAAATTTAACGTATGTTTCATTGGCAAGAGCGAAATCATTCATATCAGCAATATAAAGATGAATATAGAGAACATTCACCCATCCACAGCCATATTCAACAAGACATGATTCAATTTTCCTTAATACAGCACTCAGATCTTTATCCAAACCTGCCAATAAGAAAATTGGAAACCAATGGTTAAATAATTTGCCTACAATGCAGACTTGAAGGCTTACACTTTGATGTACCTGACAATGAAATATTGTTCATATCATTATGCATCAATTAAGGCTGTTATGTCAAAGCATCGGTTAGTCAACCAGCCAGTCACCATGCCAACTGCATCATTAACTAGTTAGTCAGTACCCATGATGCAGTTACTAGGAATGATCGATCATTGACTAGGTTGAGTAGCTTGACTAACCACAGTTATTTCAAAGTTTTATCTGCTTTTTCTCTAACTAATCATCATAATATATGCATGCTAGTTTAATTTTAATGGCAAACGTCTTGAGTGACTACAAGTGTACAAAATGGAAACAAGGCATGAAATAAAAGGACAGTGGAAAGGACTTCTGTAAGCCTCCTTCAAATTAGTGATGTACTGGTATGGAGTTGCCACAAACAAGGGAGCTACATCAAACATCAAGTTGTCAAAGTTGCATCAAGTTACCTTTTGAATTTTTGCATGAATTTTGGATCCAACAACAAATAGAAAACGTATTATCCCTTTTGGTTGTTGAAATTTGAAGCATAGCCTCTATGGTTTCACCAGAAGCAAGTGTTGAATTTTCAGAGTGGCACTCATCTTTACTTTCAGGCACTGGCTCTCCCTGGACCACAAATACAGAACTTGTTTTCTCTGATTCTAAAGAAGCATCAGTTGTGCTGTTATTGCTGCTGAAAAAAGTAAATCCCTTTTTGTGTTCTAAATGGAATGCTGATGGATGGAGGACCCCAACAGGAGCTATCGAGTCTGAAGAGTGCAGAACAACTTGAAAATCATCAAGCACAATCCGAGCATTCTGGAGATTCTACATGTTAAATCCTGACCAAGAAAAAGAAAAGGAAAGGACAACTTGCTAGGGATGAAACATTATTTGCAAATTCCATATTATGGAAGACATTCATGGATCAAATTGATCCTGGACAAAATCAATGTTATGAAGCACAGAGAAATGATCATATATCTACATTTATGACAGCCACAAGCGCAGAGCTATTCATAAAAAGATTCTACAGAATATGGTGATCCATAGATAAATAACTGGGGCAGGCCACAAAAATGGGAAACTTACTTTAAAAAGTGGGCAGTCAAGTGTAAGTGTTTCATATTCCCCTCCTTCACCACACACATTTATTCCGTACAACCTGTCCAAATGCCAAATAAATGCAGCATTCAGTATGGCTTAATATTAAAAAAGTTATTCTAGCTAGACGTACTCTTTCAAATGATGCAGTTGGGGTTGCAAATATGAAATCTCCTTTCCCAAGTGATTTTCAGGGGTCAATCCCATGGCTGCAACCTATGAGATTTGAAAATAATTTGGATTCAGAATTACAACTACAAGCAATAGAACCAATATCATCGTGGGAAAACTTAATGCAGATACAGTAAATAATTAAGGACATGATATCAGAGATGCCTCATCTTAGCACAGTTGTTAGGACTCTTGCAGTTATCCTGAGTTAGCTGTAGGAAACATATTTCATAAAGAAACTGGGTCTGGGAAGAAGATAGAGATATAATGCATATTTAGATGCCCCATCAGCCCATCTTATATTTGTGGGTATGGGAATTCAAGGAAAGGCAAAGTATGAAAGATGAAGAAAAAGATAATGTAGTGTAGTAAAATTTACCTTTACTGTGATAGCCACAATCCCTCTTGTGATCTACTCAAAACAAAAGGGGGAAACATAGTGACAGAAATAAGTAGAACACTCAGAGAATTTGAAAAAGGAAAAGTATTACACCTTTCAAATCGATAAAGAGATTACCATTTCTTGAAGGAGCAAAGATTGATCTTGTTTCCATAAATATGACAGAGAAACAAGACCCAACCTTGAACAAACACTTTCCACCCGTAGCCTCTGATAATCTGAAACGATAGCACCTGAAGACACTGCCATGATGGCTGGTATTTGTCGTTTTACTTCTTTTAGCAGAATAAACAAGTCTTCAACCTCATCACCTGGAGTTGTTCTGTAGCTAAGATTTTGACACCTATTTAACAAAAGGGGTAGAACAAAAAAAGCATTGAACATATTAAATCAAGATCCGTCATCATAAAAGCAACCTTATGGGAAATGGAAATTAAAGTGAATAATTAATTGTAATGGCAGGAAGGATATTTTCTCAACATTTATCATAATAAAGGGTCTGATTTTGATTCTCTTCAGTGTTCAGTGTTGATTTGGAGAATCAATCAAACACTGGGGCCCTTTATGTAACAGTAACAACATAATATGGACGGAATTGCAACTTTGGCATAATTTGGTGTCTGTGGGAGGAAAAGAACAAGTGCATAGTTGAAGATATTTGTATTTCTGTTGCTGCCAATCAACCATCATAAGAAAAGTGAAGATACCTATACATCACAAGAAAATGACATCTAGGGAGTTCAAAGGTATTAGCCAAAATAATATATGGGGAAGTCGATTCAAGTACTACAATCCTCCTTGTCAATCAACAAGGGTTTGCATTCTATGACTGTTCATAGAGTCTATTAGATCTTGAATATCACTATAAAACCCAGATAAATCAGAGCTAGTGACCTCTTTGAAACCAAACTAGAGTTGGTTTTATTGTTTATTTAGCTCCTATTAGAGTGAAGTGGGTAATTCAAGATATGGTTTTGGAAAATCTAGCACATACTTCCCCTTCGAGAAGGAGAAGCTATGGGCTAGAATAGTGGCAAGTATTCATGGGCTGGAGCATAATGGATGGGATGCTGGAATCAGAACTAGGACCACAAGCAATTCTCCTTGGAAAGCCATTCATGACCTGCTACCAGTTTTCTCCCCTAATATTAGGTATGATTTGAATTCCGATAACTCCATAAAATTCTAGGAACAAACTTGGGTGGGGAGTGCCCCTCTAAAGGATCAGTTTCCTTCTTTGTTTGCTCTTTCTGATCTGAAAAATGAGCCAATCTCGTCTTTTACCACCCCGTCCTCTTCCACTTCTAGGATTGGGTGGAATTGGGTCTAAGAAGGGATTTGAGGGAATCAGACTTTGACAATATTTTGAGCCTTATTGCAATTCTTGATAACGTTGTCTTAGACCCCACTAGGGCGGACTCTAGAATTTGGACACCTTCTCCCAACGGCATTTTTTCTTGTGCTTCTTTCTTCAAAGTCTTAAGTCAGTCCACCAGTCCTACCTTCCCTCCTTTTCCTGTTGA